AATATTGTAATCTACTGCTTCGAAAAATGTTATTCATAGTATTTGGTGTATGTTGAGTCTCTATCCATGAACTCGCATCAAATTTCGCGCATCTTCTTCACGTAACATGACGAGCCACTTGCCGGAAAAGTGTTTTAAAATTATATAAAGTCCATACAAAGTCCGAAAATCACGAAACTTGTCAAGGTGTCATGTTATCGCATGTGTAGGCTGTGGTAAAAAATTGAGAATGTTTCGAGCAAGTTGTGATGTCAGATGCATAAAACCCAGACATGTGTAGGCTGTGGTAAAAAATTAAGAATGTTTCGAGCAAGTTGCGACGTCAGATGCATAAAACGTCTGGGTTTTATGCATCTGACGTCGCAACTTGCTCGAAACATTCTCAATTTTTTACCACAGCCTACACATGCGATAACATGACACCTCGATAAGTTTCATGATTTTCGGACTTCGTATGGACTTTATATAATTTTAAAACACTTTTCCGGCAAGTGGCTCGTCATGTTACGTGAAGAAGATGCGCGAAATTTGATGCGAGTTCGTGGATAGAGACTCAATATACACAAAATACCATGAATAATATTTTTCGAAGCACTAGATTACAATATTCCATGCACTTGCAATTCAAATTTAAACTATATATAAAAAATCAACATAATCAAATTAATCAACCAAATATAACAAAAAAAACTAGAAAAAGCACCAAATTTGAACATGAAGTTGTAAACAATGTAGGTGGGCCCAACAAAAAATTTAGGGTCAAAAAAAAAAAAATTGAAAATTTGCCGAGTGCCAGCTTGGCACTTGACAAAGACTGTCTTTGCCGAATGCTGGGCCAGGGGCACTCGGCACAGAATTTTTTAAAAGAAAATTTTCAAAAACGGTTAAAAAGTCTTTGCCGAGGGCCTAACGGTGATGCCCTCGGCAAATATTGACGGCAGGGGATGGACGTCGTGTCAGGCGGTGTTGCCGAGGGCCGGACCTTTGCCGAGGGCTTAGCCCTCGGCAAAGAATTATTGTTGCCGTGTGCTTGTATTTGCCGAGGGTCTGGCCCTCGGCAAAGAGTCTTTGCCGAGGGTTGTTCTTTGCCGAGTGCCCGAGCATTTACCCTCGACAAATCCTCAGGCCCTCGGCAAAGATGCTCTGTCCGGTAGTGTGACTTTTCCGTCCGCATGACTTGTTCCATCCGGCCAGCCATTCCTTCCTCCGTAGCTCCTGGACCTTTTCTGCTCATCCTTCCTGCTGGTACGGTGACTTCAGGTCTCCAACCTTGCAATACATGTACGATTTGTTTGGGGTATTATTAGCCTTCTCTAGAAGATGTTGTTATCCCCCTATAAGTTTTACAACATCCGATTAAGTGCAACTACTATTTTTAGTCTACCAACATATAAGTCATCCACACTGTACTATTTGTTTGAAAGTTCCTTACATTCCCTTACTCAGTATTGACAGTATATCTCATACCCACAATGATATAATAATTTTATTTCTAATTTAGTCCTGTAGTAACGAGCGGGGTTTTCTTCTAGCAATCTAATTACCCCCCCCCTCTCTTCATTGAACACATGACCAGTATAGCTAGTACCAATTTAACAATAGAGTGGCAACCATTTAAAGCATGACCAATTTGTTCTTTTTAACAAGCCTAAACATGACCTGATTGCCTCCGGTCCCTCACTTCCATATCACTTTCCAAGACTGTGGATGGTGTTCTGAGGTGGTTATCTACTAGGTCTATGATTTTTCGTACTTTCATTGGCAACTATATGGATTTTGATGAGCTCTCGAGCCAGCTAAGGAAGATCCATAATGCCCGCATCATAAATACTACTCCACATCATAGTTTTAAATTTCCATAATTCATCATGCTGGCAGCATAAATTTCATGGAGTAGAGATTTAGGAAGCAGAAAATATGTAGCAGTATTTGTTCCTTCCAAATTATCTTCTAGGATCAGCCGTATATATATTCATGAACAGAGAGTCGGTATTTGTAGTAGTTGCCTGACTTCACAGCTCTTTCTTCTCTTCAAGGGCTTTGTCTGTAAAATCAAAAGACAGATGTACAAATGTTTATCGACATTAATCAAACATTGTTTTTTTATTTCACTTATAAAAAAACCATTTAGATCCCCAAGTGAATAGTGTACAAGAGCTTAATAATAAGCTTTGTTCACCTAAAGTGCAACTTGTTTGCAAGGCTGCTCACTCAAAACAGACACTTGATATATAGAAGAACAGCTGATGGTAAGGTCCTGGCCTAATGATCACTGCCACCTTTATATTGAAGGTTAATTAGCAACCATGTTGAGACTACGAATAACCAGTTCATCACCTCAGGATACTAATTAAAATGCTACTGATTTTGGAAGGAGTAGAATCACCAAATTTGCAACTAATGGTTGGCACCCTGTATAGGCTGATGTAAGCAAGCTACTTAACATTATGCAAACGTTCTTCAATATAAGTGAGAAAAAAATTTGGCCTTCTTATACTGCCAGAATCAGCTATTAGTCGTTTGGGGACAAGAAAAAATTAGCACAGATTAGCCACAATCACATCGCATACAGTACAGTTGCAAAACACAATTCTAAAACTTGTTGCCGGTCTGATTTGCAACCATACACTTCTCCACTTTCACAACTGACCAGACTGCTGTAACATTTGTGTAATTAGTATTTGTGAGAGCAAAGATGCACTATTCTTCCATTTATGATGCAAGTAGCATCTATAGCAGGAGCCATCTTATGGAGTTATTATCAACAAAATATATCACTTACCAATAGCCTTTATTATAGTACCATAAGCTAATGTACAGGAAGATAAATTACGCTGCACAAATTGCAAAAAGAGATGATACCAGACCACAAAACATCCTGAGCTCAAATGCATTCATACAAAAGAAATGAAGTGGAACAGAACCTGGCAGTCGACATTCAAGTACCCAATGACTGCATACAGATAATTCTATGACCTCCTTTAGTTGTTCAGCGAAACACAGAAACATGACGTATGCAGGCACACCGCACAATTAATAGAACAAGTTACAACTTACAATGCATCAATAATCTTCTTTCTATGAGCACAGTTCACAGCCTTGTTAAAGACTCAGCTTACTACATCACTTGCCTAAACAGAAGCGGTCGACTAGGTCTATGATTTTTCGTACTTTCACTGGCAATTATATGGATTTTGATGAGCTCTCGAGCAAGCTACCGAAGATCCATAATGCCTGCATCATAGATACTACATCATAGTTTAAAATTTCCATAATTCATCATGCTAACAGCAGATTCTAATGCCTATATAAATTTCGTGGAGTAGAGATTTAGGAAGCAGAAAATATGTAGCAGTATTTGTTCCTTCAAATAATTTATCTTCTAGGATCAGCCATATATATATTCATGAACAGAGAGTCGGTATTTGTAGTAGTTGCCTGACTTCACAGCTCTTTCTTCTCGTCAAGGGCTTTGTCTGTAAAAACAAAAGACAGATGTACAAATGTTTATCGACATTAATCAAACAATGTTTCTTATTTCACTTATCAGAAAAAAAAATTTAGATCCCAAACTTAATACTGTACAAGAGGTTAATAATAGCTTTGTTCACCTAAAGTGCAACTTGTTTTTTTTTCCTCAAACATGCAGGACAGCTGCGTATCATTATATTAAGAAGAGTAAAGGAGTGAGTTTAGAAACCCCATACAACCACACAAACACACACACTCTTTTACATCTAATGGTGTATCTCTCTTCCACTTTTCAAACTTGACCCAAGGCCACTAGAGAGGAACTCATGCGTTGACCGGCTCTAGAGCAAGGAGTGCAACTTGTTTACAAGGCTGCTCACTCAAAACAAACACTTGAAAGAAGATCAGCTGATGGTAAGGTCCTGGGCTAATGATCACTTTCATCTTTATATACCATGTTAATTAACAACCATGTTGAGACCACGGATAACCAGTTCACCACTTCAGGATACTAATTGAAGATGCTACTGATTTTGGAAGGAGTAGAATCAGCGAATTTGCAACTAATGGTTGGCACTCTGTATAGGCTGATATAAGCAAGCTACTTAACATAATGCAGACGTTCTTCAATTTAGATAAGTAGGAAAAAATTGGCCTTTTTATACTGCCAGAATCAGCTATTAGCCGTTTGGGGACAAAAAAAAAATTAGCACAGATTAGCCACACTCACATCGCATAATATAAAGTGAAGTTGCAAAACACAATTCTAAAACTTGTTGCTGGTCTGATTTGTAACCATACACTTCTCCACTTTCACAACTGACCAGACTGCTGTAAAATTTGTGTAATGTAATTTGTATTTGTGAGAGCAAAGAAGCAGTCTTCTTCCATTTATGATGCAAGTAACGTTTATATCAAGAGCTATCAACAAAATATATCACTTACTAATAGCCTTTATTAGTACAATAAGCTAATGTACATGAAGATAAATTAAGCAGCACAAAATGCAAAAAGAGTTGTTATATACCAGACCACAAAACATCCTGTGCTCAAATGCATTTATACAAAAGAAAATGAAGTGGAACAGAACCTGGTGGGCGACATTCAAGTACCTAATTGCAATGACTGCATACAGATAATTCTATCACCTCCTTTAGTTGTTCAGTGAAATACAGAAGCATGACATGCAGGCACACCGCACAACTAATAGAACAAGTTACAAGTTACAATGCGTCAATAATCTACACTCTATGAGCACAGTTCACAGCCTTCTTAATAAAGCCTCAGCTTACTACATCACTGGCCTAACCAGAAGCGATCGATTAAGGGCACAAATGAGTGTGTTTGATGAGTAAATAAAAAGAGGGGTTTCAGTTAGTAAGCACAGTTCACAGCCTTGTTAAAGGCTAAGCTTACTACATCACTGGCCTAACCAGAAGCAAATGAGCACGTTTAATTTGACTAAATAAAAGAGGGGTTTCAGTTATTAGTAAGCACAGAATAACTTGAGCAAACCTTGATCACTCCGTTCAGATGGGTACCACAGATGCGCTGGCGTGTCGTCTCATCCTCCACACCCTCACTGCCAAACCCGGAATGGAAACGAAGCAACACATGACGCTGATGCCCAAGGGCGGCACAACCATGATGTCAGAGGCAAATCTGGCTGTAGGAGGATCATTATTGGCAGCCAATAGCTTCAGCAGAATGCCAAAAGCTTCGAGGAAGGCGAAAGCGATAGTGGCGGCGAGCTGTGCATCTATGACGGCGTCGCTCAGAGTCAGAGGTTCCAGCGCCGCCGCTCCCTGCCGCACGGTGCAACCAAAGGCAAGCAATTTGAGAAGAAGCAGAGTACAAGTGTCCGAAGGACACCTGCAATTGGGTGCAAAAGGCACCAAATTTCGAGTTCGAAGGTAGGAGTACCTTCTTTAGTTGGTCGATGTAGAAGGGCTCCACGAATTTACTCAGCAGCAGCGCGGAGAGGGGCCAGACGATCGCAACGAAGAGCACGGAGACAAGTACGGCCGTCCACGCAGCGCCGGTGCACCCCCAGCCGCAGGCGAGGCGCCCGATGAGCGCGGCAGCAACGCTCGCCAGCAAGACCCACAGACTTGCGATCCACAGGCACACCACGGTGTCGGCGGCGGCCAGGGCGAGCCGGCTGATGCGGACCACCGGCACCGGCGGAGGCGGAGGCGGCGCCGGCATCACCACGTCGACGGCGGCCATGGGAGCGGGCTCTCGAAGCTTGCCTTCCTAGTCCTAGCTTCGCAATGTAGGCGGAGGCGCGGAGGCTGAGCAGACTTGAGGAAGAGCAACAGGAGGAGAATGGGGGTTTTCAGACTTGGGGAAAAGAGCAACGGCGACGGCGAGCAGAGGCTGAGCAGAATGGGGGTTTTCAGGTGCCCCAGCCCAAGTCCTGATGGATGGATATGCCCAGTCGTAGTGTACACACTACACGGCGACGGCGAGCTGAGAAACCGACACGTCATCGTCTCACTTTGTGCATCTCCCACATCCGATCCGACCTCCCTTGGTTCATCGATCGTCAGGCTCCAGGAATCACCAGCTACTACTAACCTACTTCCCCCTTTCCTCTCCTTCTGCTCCCCTGCGACTCCTTTCTTTTCCCCACTCGATGTTCCTGCTAGCTAGCTTCACATGTAGCTAGTATGAACGCAAGACTTCAAGTTCAAGTAGAGGTAGAGGTAGAGGTAGAGGTAGAGGTAGAGGTACTGGTAGAGTGGTAGTAGCTGTTTTATCTCTTCAAGTTTTTTTTGTCTCGAACACTCATGAGAGCTTTTTTGTTTGTGAATCCACACTCATGAGAGCTGGCAAATGTGTTGGTTGTTCTGAATCTCTGATGTATACTCTAGCAGTGTATTTGGTAGGTTATATATATAATTCCTTTGCTTCTTAAAAACTATGTAAACATTCTAGATATGTTCCTTCCTTGCATCTCTGATACTGTGGATATATTTGGGAAACTAAGGAATTTTACAAGGATTGCCTGAAACAAAATAGTTCAACTCTTATGGTAACTAAGGAAAATTACCACATGTACTTATCCTTGGTAGATGCTTTTAGGATCTTCAAATTTGTTTAATTTCCAAAATTACTACTACAGTTGACGTTCCCTGTTCGTTATTTCTCTGTACCTCCTATGGGCCTACTGTAGGTTTTACAGTTTACAAATAGCAAAAATATGTATATTATATGCTCCCAGACCTTATTTGCCTTTGCTTATTTAGATTACAGAGAATGCAAATGAACAGACTTCTCCTTGGTAAAAAAAGAGGAAATTATCTTGCTAAGATCTAAATATTCATGCTAAAGGTATTTTGATGCTAAAATTTTAATACCTTACGTTTAGCATGAGCAAATGTGGGTTTTGATGCTGAAGTCATGGAGTAGATTATAATACATAGCAGCAATGTAGCTGGCTGCCTAAGAGTATACTCCTAACTGATAGCTGACATTCCTATCTCTGACAGAGTATATCATAGTTCAGAACCTAAATCTCCAGTTCCACGAACATATACACTATATAGAGCTATATGACTGTTGACTTTAGATTACACATGTTCAGACATTTGCCTTTGTTCAGTTCAATTCATACCATTAGTTCAGGACTTCAGATATAAACCTAAATTCATTACATTCTTACAGAGATTAATTCTCATGCTGAAAAATGACTCAGAGAGCTAGTGCAGCAGTGCTTCACTGCTTGTGCTTATGAACAACCAATGCCTTTGTGTTTGTCCTGGTTCTGTGAAGATGACCTATGATGCTGCAACCGGAAATGTATTGATTTCATATTTGAGAATTAATGTCTTTTTGTTTGGTGCTTTGCACCTTTTACTAAATTACTTGATTTTTCAGATGGATAAATATGTATACTTGCTACTATGCTAGAATATGTATATTTTTGGTGAAACATTATAAAACCCTTTAACTCCATGTAAACGTCTAAACAGTCTATATGCTAAATGAAGGGTGATCGACGGTTACCATTTAGCATTTAAGATAACATAGCACCTAATTGTTTTTCATCTTCATTTTCATTTTGGGACGGAGAAATTACTCAATTAAATTGAGAGTACAATTGCATACCTATTGACATCCAAGCTTCTAGACACACTACACTAGCTTTTATCGAGAGCCATCTAACAACATTGTCCACCTCTAAAAGATGTCATCAACGATTGCCTAGTTTCAACTTAGCAACACCAACGAGTGACATCAGAGTACCACCTTCCAATCATTGCGGCGATAGGTCCCAAACCTTAGCAATGTCACATAAGTCAATGCTTGCATTGGCCACCTTGAATATGATCAAGGGATCATATCATTCTGTCACCATACCAGCCATGTTAGAGCTGGAAGCTCGAATAACTTCCCAGTGATCGCGAGATCATAACCAACGAGCTAATGACACAAAGATACAAATGGGCCAACACAACCATCCCCACCAATCGCATCAACCCGGCGAAAAATAGAAGTGACGTGAAGAAACACCAGGGCAATAGGCATCTGCACAGGAGGTTTCTACAAGAAATAAGGTCAAGATACGAATTGCCGTAGGTAGTGCATAGGTCACAATTTATCCAATATAAACCCTATACCCCTACTGCCGGTGAAGCCACCACATTAGGAGGAGGGGAAGCGTATTGGTCGCGCCTAGAGAACCCCTAGGATGGCGGCAGTAGAGAAGCCATTTAAGTATTGTCATCTTTCTCTACCGATGTAATCTTACTCTTGTGAATCATAACCATTAGCATTCACTTTCTAAATGTGTTCTCTAACATGTATCCAGACTCACTGATGTCTCTAGCAATCATATATCCATGTCCCATCACATCATATGAGTCAAAACCTAGTAATACGAGTCACAATCGAAGTGATGGTCCTACATCCATCACAACTCAATAATGTGACAATGGCCATGTACATGTCTCCAACCATATCACATCACCAATTTACCCTTTGTTATTGCATAAATTTCCAACAATATTTTTACCATCAACTCTATTAAAACTGACATTGAAATATTATCACCACTGGTTAGTGGTTTGAACCGGCCATGAAACCAGCTCAAGTGTATATACGCCAAACCCTCCCTAACCCCTCATCCTCCGCCATCACCGCCTCATCTCCCCACCCCCCCACCCCCCACCCCACATACACCCCACCTCCTGCCCCCTATGCCCCTCCTCCCCCACTCCTCGCCATGTTGCTCACTCCACCGTGGCAGTGTGGCCTAGGGAGGTGATGAAGCGCAGCAAATCTAGCCTAGGACAACAGATGACGACAAAGAACAAGGCTTGTAGTCAAATCCATCCATGTAGGACGTTTAAAAAAATGTGACCAACCTAGGCATTTTTTCATTAAGAACAAGATAAACACCCAAATACATGTTGAAGATGACTCGAACTAGGGTGGTTATGTGCATGACCACACCTCCCACCCAATCAGGTAGGACAAATGAAAAAAAATATATATGTGCAGAACTGTAAAACAAATCAAGCCAAATTAACATCTACAGATTCAGAAATATTAAACACATCCTACATCATGAACTAGAAGTAAGCTGAGCAATATTAGATTTGCTAAGAGAAATCTCTGCAGAAGAAATTTATAATAAATTAACTAAAGCCAAGATCATAGCATGTCCAGTGTGATATTGCATCCAGATATGCATCTTCTCCTGCTAGGATGTTAGTTACATTGATTAAAAGCACGAGTCATTCTCCTCATTGTCACTTCTAGAAGTACGTGTTCCAGAAGCATAGGATACACCATAGTTTCAAATTTGCAGAATTCATAGCATAGGGGATACTTTATGCTAGCTGTAGATCCACAATGAAATAAGATAAATTTTCGTAGATAAGAAGATACAGAAAAGAACTAATATTTTCAGCAACAAAGCATAGGTACTCGTAGTCCTCCATCTTCACAGCTCTTTCTCCACTTCAAGGCTTTCTACAAAAATGAAGTCAAACATCTTAATCAGAATAGGTGCATAAAAATTGGATCCATATCGCATCACAAATATTTTAGATTTCACCTCAAAAGTATTTTAGACTCCAATATTTAGAAAGTATAAGAGGTTAATGTGTAAAGATTGCCTAAGGTAAAACTTTTGCAAGCTTGCTCACATAAAAGTCAAAACAGCCAATGTACTGAAATAAAACTGATGGTAGGGTGCTGATCTAATCAGTACTACTTCCCCTACATAACAAATTAGTTAACAAACATGTCTAGACCAGGAGTGACCAACAGTGAAAATCTCTTCGGTGGTTGCTAATATATGGATCAAAGGGTTCAAATACTTGAGTACAACTATAATAGAGTTGTACAAATGGGTTTTACATGAAGCATTTCCCATCACGATTTCATCTCTTCAGCAGAATGACGGGGTTTTCAGGTGCTCAAGTCCTGATGGATGGATATGCCCAATCGTAGTGTACACACTACACGGCGCGGCGAGCTGAGAAACCGACACGTCATCGTCTCACTTTGTGCATCTCTCACACCCGATCCGACCTCCCTTGGTTCCTGGATCGTCAGGCTCCAGGAATCACCAGCTCCTACTAATCTACGTCCTCCTTTTCTTCTCCTTCTGCTCACCTGCGACTCCTTTCTTCTCCTTTCTTTTCCCCACTCTCGATGTTCCTGCTAGCTAGCTTCACATGGAGCTAGTATGAACGCAAGACTTCAAGTTCAAGTAAAGATGTAGAGGGGACTAAAAGGCATTAAAGCTGCCGAAAGACTAAACGGTAATCATATATGTCGGGCGTCTCACCCTTCACTTTCACCTCCAGACGTGGCTCGCTCTCCTCCACTCGCTCGTGGCTTATCCTTATCCGCTTGCCCCACGTCGCTCAGCCTGCTCCATACGGTGCGCCCACGCTCGGGTAGCAACGAGACGCTCGCCGCCGCTCCCTCCCGAGCCGCTCGCGGCGCCGCCCCGCCCGAGCCGTGCGCCCCCGCTCGCGGTAGCAATGAGCTGCTCACCGGTGCCGCCCCCGCCTAGGCCGCTCGCCAGCGCACCCCTCCCGAGCTACTCGCGCGGTGCCGCCCCCGCTCGAACCGCTCCTTCCCCGACCCCGGCGTCCTCCTCCGAGTGGCTCCTTCCCGCACCCCGGTGTCCCTCCTCCTCCCCCACCCCGGCGGCGCCCCTCTCCCCCTTCCCCACCCCAGACGTCCTCCCCCACAAGGAGCTCCGG